TGGGTGTCCTACACGGTCAGTTCAGCTGCGTGGGCCCTGCAGCCCCTCCAGACCCAACGCCCAGGGCGCCGCTTCCCGACCTGTCGGAGCTGCTTCCAGTCGAATGGGGACTGAGAGCGAGGACCCAGGACTGAGACTTCAGGCCCATCAGCCCCCCTCCTTCCCGCCCCCTCCCCCCCACGAAGCCGGCAGCTCTCTTTCTACCTGTTTTTCACTCTTTGTTCCAAAGCCTCCTCGCCTTTGGGCCTTTAAGCCCTGGTATCAGGCACCTGGCCCAGCAAGGCAGGGGGTGTGGGGTCGGAACTCTGGAGTCAGCCTGGATTTGAACTTGAGCTCTGCCTCCTCCGGCTGCGCCTCCCCCTGGCGTCCTGACACACTGGCCTGGGGTCTCTCACCTGCAGACACACTGGTACCTCTCTCCTGGGAGGCTGGGAGGGTTCCCAGAGGCAGACCTGTGAGGCCCCACCCTGCCCCAGAGCACAGCTGTCCACCTCAGCTCGGGGAGCAGCGGTGCCTCTCCTGCTATTGGAGAACCTTCCACTCCAGCCTGCTCCTCCTCCCACCCCCCTACACCTTGTGATATGCTCATTCCCGACTCAGCACCTCCTGTGGTTTGCTCTGTCTGGAATGCCTGCCTCTCCTGCCCTTCGTTCTTCAGAGCCGCAGCGTCACCACCATGTCAGGGTCTGACCCCTGAGGACAGGGTCCCCTCCACCCCATCCTCCTTCATCCCCCACCTTCTCCTCTGGGCTGTTCTGTCAGAATGGGGCTGGGCTGCGGATGTGGCTGGCAGGGCTGCCACTTAGGGACCCACAGGAGGCTACCGCCGGCAGTGGCTTCTGGAAACTTCGGGGTGCGGGAGGGTCCAGGTTCCAGGTGGGGAGGTTGGGGCACAGCGAGGTGAAGTGGCTGGCCCACAGTCACACAGTCCGCCCCGGGCACCCCAGCTGTGTGCTGCCCCTGCTGATGGCTCCTGTCGCTGTTGGCCAGGTGGACAGGGCAGAGGTGTGGGATGCCGGCCGCTACACCTGTGAGGCGCTGAACCAGGCGGGCCGCTCGGAGAAACACTACAACCTCAACGTCTGGGGTGAGGCTCTCCTGGGCTGGGCTGCGGTCCCCCCTGCCCTGCCCCTGCGCGGCCAGCTCGCATGCCCTGGGGGACTGCTGCCTTGACTGGGCCCCAGGGTGCAGCCCGCTCCCCTCCCAGCTCCCCACCCCCTCACACCCTCTCTTCTCTTCTCTTAGTCCCTCCAGTGTTCCCCTCGAGGGAGCCCCGCATCCTGGCTGTGACCGAGGGACACCCCACCAGACTGTCCTGCGAATGTCGGGGTGTCCCTTTCCCCAAGATCACCTGGAGGAAGGACGGTAGGGTTGCTGGCTGGGAAGGGGCTGGGGTGCCCAGCGGACTTGGGGACCGAGCAGAATCGGACTGAGTGTCATTTCTGTAACCAGGACCCCCAACCCTGAGGCTGAAGGCCCACCCACCTCCATCTCCGCTGGGCTCTGGGGTGGGGCCACCCGTCGAGGGCAGGGACAGCCTCCTCCTGCTGGAGTTGGCCCGGACGGTGGGGGGACCAGGAACCAGGGGCTTTTTCTTGCTACATCCAGGTCAGCCCGTGCCCGGGGAGGGGGCCGGCCTCGGACAGGTGTCGGCGGTGGGGCGGCTGCTGTACCTGGGACCAGCCCAGCCAGCCCAGGAGGGAACGTACACCTGTGAGTGCAGCAACGTGGCCGGAAATAGCAGCCAGGACCAGCAGCTGGAGGTGCATGGTGAGCCGGGCTGGGGTGACCTGAGCCAGGCAGAAGGGGCCGGAGGGTGGCAGGCAGGGGAGACCCCACCCCTGGGATCCAAGCCGAGACAGGAACAGCGATAATGAGAGCACTTCCTGGCCTCTTAGATTCCGGGCATCTCCCTAACCGCCCTCCCAGCCAGCTTCCTGCGGCTCCTGCTCCGGGCCTAAGCCTGAGAGCGGCCATGTGACCCCAAGAGCCCCCAGCGGCCCAGAGGGAAAAACACCACTCGGAACAGAGGCGGAAAGAAATGTAGAATTTCTATGAAGCTCCTGTGCATAAGGGAGACCTGAGTCCCGGCTGCTCGTCCTGCAGTGATGAGATGAAATAGCTCAGCCTAAAATAGGACCAAGAAAAGCATTTTCTTTATAGTTCAATTTCCGTTTTAATCTATATCACCAGAAAACACTTTTTTTTACATTTTTTCCCTTTTATTGATTAAGATATTATAAATATGTCCTTATCCCCCCAATGAAAAGCATTTTGGAGAGAGTAACCCCGCACTGGCCGGCCCCCGCGACTGTCTGAGCTCCGGGAAGGCCTGGTTTCTGAGGAAGGAACCTCCGCAGCTCTTCAGGGCTGTGCTGAGAGCTTGTTTTCCAAACGGCAGGCCCCTCCCCGGGACCCCAGCGTTAGACAGGCAGGAGTGGAGCACCCCACGGCCCCTTTATAAGGATGGAACATGGAGGCCCAGAGAGATGAGGTCACCTGACCAAGGCCACGCGGCCAGGGAGTGGCCGTGGGGAACGTAGGCCAGCTTGGGGCCTGGTGTGAGTGCTTGCTGCCCGGCGGCCACAGCGACTTTCTCCCCACCCCAGTTCCCCCGCAGATCGCTGGCTCCCGGGAGCCCCCCGCACAAGTCTCCGTGGTCCGGGACGCGGAGGCCACTCTGGAATGCAACGTCACGGGGAAACCCCCACCCAGGGTGACGTGGCAGCGGGACGGCCAGCCGGTGGGAGCCGCACCGGGCCTGCGGCTGCAGAACCAGGGCCAGAGCCTGCACGTGGAGCGGGCACAGGCTGCCCACGCGGGACGCTACAGCTGCCTGGCCGAGAACGTGGCTGGGAGGGCCGAGAGGAGGTTTGCGCTGTCCGTGCTGGGTGAGGACCGGGGGCGGCCGGAGCGGGGCTGGAAGGGGGCCCAGACTGGAGAAGGCAAGGCCGGGTCACGCCTCATTCTCCCCAGAGGCAGGCCTCTGGTGAGGTCTGTTGGGGGAGCCTTCAGACGGCTCCCAAATCAGGACTGGCTTCAAATGGCCCTAATCTCCCCCCACTTTTCCCCTCCCTTCCTGCCTGTCCCCCTACTCTGTTCTGGGCACTGTGGAAATGAGCTGCTCTCTCCTGCATGACGTACATGTGATAGGGGAATTCAGGGGCCTGAATGCTGTCGTGGGAAGTCAGGGCAGCCTCCTGTAGGAGGTGGCCTTTCAGCTGAAATGTAGAAGCAGGATGGTAGTTAACCAGGTGCTAGGGTGAGGGGGGTATTGTGCCAGGCAGAGGGAACACACCCCACAGAGGCCAGGAGGGGTGGCAGGTTCAGGGTAGCTAGAACAGCCTTGTGGTTTCAGTCTTTTATTGAGCTCCTACTGTATGCCTCAGGGCAGAAGTGAAGAGTGGTAGGAGAGAAGATGGGAGAGATGGGCCGTGTGGCTGGGACCCTACCCCATCCGCCCACCCCAGCCTGACAGAGCGGGGCTTCCTTTGGGAGTGGATGCTCTAGACACCACGGAGCTCTGACGTGTGGATCTGGGGGGCGCACTTGTGTTCCTTTGCTCTTGGCCAGTCTCGTTCGCTCAGCATCGGCTCCGTACCAGGCGCTGTGCCGAGAGCTTTACACGGGTTCTTGTCGAATCCTCCCGGGATCCCTCTAGGGCAGCGGTTCTCAACCTGTGGGTCGCGACCCCTTTGGGGGTGGAAGGACCCTTTCACAGGGGTCGCCTAAGACCATCAGAAAACATTATATAATTGCATATTGTTTTGGTGATGAATCACTATGCTTTAATTATGTTCAATTTGTAACAATGGAATTGGGGGTCACCACAACATGAGGAACTGTATTAAAGGGTCACGGCATTAAGAAGGTTGAGAACCACTGCTCTAGGGGCTTGGAGAAACTGAGGCCCCAGGTGTCTGCCTGACGCCAAAGCCCCGCCTGCGGTCGCCACTCACCCCTTTCAGGGGGAGCAGCTCTTGAAGCCTTCAGCCCCTCCTGAGTTGGGGTGGGGCTCCAGGGGGAGGGCGTGCGTGGGGGTTGCGGAAGGAGCACACAGCCCTGTCTGCATCCTGAATAAGTCTGTTCCTTTGTGTCCAGTGCCCCCAGAGCTCATCGGAGACTCAGACCCGCTGACCAACATCACTGCCGCCTTGCACAGCCCCTTGACGCTGCTCTGTGAAGCCACCGGCATCCCACCCCCGGGGGTCCGCTGGTTCCGAGGGGAGGAGCCCCTCAGCCCCAAGGAGGACACCTACCTCTTGGCGGGTAAGGTGCCGACCAGGGGAGTGTCCGGTGATCGGGCCTGGCCCTCCGCTTCTGCCTCTGCTCAGCACATGCCCATGACTTCTGACCCTGAGCGGCCAGCCGGGGTGACATAAACATTTTGGCTGTTGGTCCCCCAGGAGTGCACCCCAAAACACTGGTCAGGTGATGTGCTCCAGGAAACACATTAGATTTGACTACGTTTAGAAAGGCTTCCTGCTCTGCTCTCCTCCTAGAGACTCACAGTGGCCATTTATAGTCAAGGTTCTGATAAGTCCTGCAGCAAAAATTCTCATGGCACTTACATAACACCTCACACACAGTACAGGTGGGCGAACGGACATAGGGTCTAAGCACCTCTGCCTCTGAATCGTCGTCGTCCTCACAAAGGTGGTTTGCGATAGTTCTTGCTGACATACAAATGGGGAAACTGAGGCCCAGGAGGCAGTGTCCCATCCAAAGCTTGTAAGGACTTCAGGGCCCCCTGAAGCTCACCCCCAGTGACCCATCAGTTGTTCCCCGCAGGGATGTTCCGGTTGTTCCAAAGCTGGGATGGCCAATAACCTTCCCCTGTGCACCTCCTCTGAGCCCTTGGTGGGGCTGCCAGATGCATTGCAATAAGGTGGACTCAGGGGCTGCAGTAGGGCCCAGCAGAAAGGAGAGCAGTGATCGATTAGCGATGTCTGCCCTGGGTATAGGAGCAGTCATGTTCACGTGTCCCATGCATGTGCCTTCCCTGGGCTGGTCTTGGGAGAAGGCGGCCTTTTCCAGGGTCCATCAGCGTAGCAGGGCGGTCTGGCCTGGGCCAGGCCCATGGCTGTCCTTTTAGCCATGGTCAGTCTCCAGAAGTGGGGGTAGCCAGGTGACAGATCTGTCTTCTTAAACGGGACCTCGGGCTTACCCTGTGCATGTCTGATGTCCAGGGGGCTCCATCCATCTGTTCGCCCTCCTGGGCCTCAGTTTTCCCACCTGAGGAATGGGACACTGGGGTAGGCAGGCACATCTGATGGAGATGCCTGGCACGCTCCTCTTCCTGGTGGTCAGCCCGGGCTCAGCTCACAGCCGCACTTGGAGCCCACTCTCCTCCCTCCCCAGGTGGCTGGATGCTGAAGGTGACCCGGACCCAGGAGCGGGACAGAGGTCTCTACTCCTGCCTGGCCAGCAACGAGGCCGGGGAGGTGCGGAGGAACTTCAGCGTGGAGGTCCTGGGTATGTCACAGCCCCGTGTTCGTAGCCCACGAATCCTTTCCCCCGGCTGGGGAGCTTCCGGGGGGCGGTCCAGGACCAAGAGCTCTTGCTGTAGTAGGAGGTCCACTCAGGAAGGAGGGCGAGGCCGAAGCTTGTTTCCTCGGGAGCAGTTCCTACTCTGAGGCCATCATGGAACTTTCTAGAAGCAGCAGGGACTACTATAATCCAATGTGGAAAGGAGAAAATATTTCTAACACCACCTTGCCCTGATCAGAGCCTTCTCCCAGGGCACTGGTCCTCCCTCGGCCCTGTGGAAGCAGGCACGAGGGGACGGGGGACCAGGAGCCGGAAGAGAGATGCTTTAGGCTTTCTGCTCTGTGGTTCAGCCCGAGCGAGCCAGCTCCAGTCAGTGACCGGCTGTCTCCCTGCTCTCCCAGTTCCTCCCAGTATCGAGAACGAGGACCTGGAGGAGGTATTCAAGGTCCTCGAGGGACAGACAGCCAACCTGACGTGTAACACCACAGGTAAGGCCACACACGGCCACACGGCGGGCTGGGAGAAAGGTGAGAGGGCAGCTTTACAAAGGGGGGTGCTGGGGATCTTGCCTGCCTATCCCGGCCCTCTGCTCCCCATCCCAGCACTGACCACACTGATCCATGGTGGCCTTGTGACACCTGTGTACCCCAGCTGGGCTCTGAGCTCCTTGAGGACCCACGGTCTACCTTGTCACCATGGTTCCCCCAGTGCCTTAGTTATGCTGTTGAGCTGGGATGGATGGATGGATGGATGGATGGATGGATGGATGGGGAGGTGGATAGGTGGACAAATTGGTGGATGGATAGGTGTATGTATGCATGTATGTATATATGTATGTTTTCAGTGGGTTTTGCTATATTCATATGGTTATACAATCATCACCATGATCTAATTCCAGAACATTTGCTTAGGAAGATAAATGCATGGATGGATGGATGGATGGATGGATAGATAGGTGGATGGGCGGGTGGATGGATGGATGGATGGATGGATGGATGGATGGATGGATAGGTGGATGGATGGATGGATGGATGGATGGATGGATGGATGGATAGGTGGATGGATGGATGGATGGATGGATGAAAGGAATATCTTGTCTTTCTTCTGTCCGTACCAGCCATCTCTGTCCACTCCTCAGTAAGGAAAAGGCAGTCAAACCCTTAGGAAAAGGCCCAGGCCCGTGGTGGCTGCTTCTGTGTCTTTCCCTGCTGCCTGGGCCTCTGGACTGAGATGGAAAACCCATGTCCCCCACCACCCCCTTCCTGCAGTGACCTCTGCTCCAACCTGGTCCAATCCTGCCGAACTGTCTTACCTGCCTCTCTCCTCCCCACACAGGCCACCCACAGCCCAGGGTCACGTGGTTCAAAGATGGCCGGCCCCTGGCTGCTGGAGACACCCAGCACGTCTCTCCAGACGGAGCCCTTCTGCAGGTCCTCCAGGCCAACCTGTCCAGTGCCGGCCACTACTCCTGCATTGCAGCCAACGCCGCCGGGGAGAGGACCAAGCATGTCCAGCTGAGTGTCCTGGGTGAGTGCTGGGCATCTGCTGGCCGTTCCAGGTGCTGGCAGGAGGCAGAAGCAGGTGACCTGACAGGCAGCTTCCCACAAAGCCCTCCATGTTCAACAGCAAACAACAGCAGCTCTAGGGGTTGAACCCTTAGAGGCCAGGCACATGCACAGGCCTTCCGGCTGGATCTCCACAGCAACCCAGGAGGGGGCCAGTGCGCCTGCCCCATGTCACTGGTGGAGCTCTGTGGCTGGGAGAGAGGACAAGGCTCCCCCCAGGCCGTCCGCTCCCTCCCGAGGGCGAGGGCGAGGGCGAGGGCGAGGGTGATGCAGCACCAGCTGTTTTCTTGGGCTGGAGAAACGGGGATTCGAAAACAAGAGGGGCACGGGCTGGTCTCGTAAAATCCATTTCTAAAAGCGCTGGTGGCAAAATGGATGGTCCCTGCAGGGCCCGAAAGAGGACATTTTAGGGTCAGTGACAGCATAGAGCGTCTACAGCAGGGACCATCACTCCGCATCCCCGCCCCCCTCCACTCCGGGAGTGGCACAGATTGGAAACAAACAGAATTGCGGAGACTGGTTAAATTGGTAGATACCCTGGATGCTAAGAGGCTGTGGGGGAAGTTGAGGCAGAAATTGTCCAGCTTCCCCTATGGTATTGCTCAGTGGTGGAGAGCTGGGGCCCTGGGTCACCGAGGCCTGAATTCAAGACTGGCCGCACCGGCCTGGGCTCCACTGAGCCTCAGTCTCCCCTGTGCAATGCAAATAGCACGGCGGCTGAGCACTGCGGGCCTGAGGCTTTCCTGGGTCCCTGCACCCAGGGTCGGCCTCTCTGTTCACAAGCACCCCCCTGGCCTCCCATCACAGTGGCTCCCTCCATCCTGGGGGTGACCGAGGACGGTGCAGACGAGGAGGTGACCGTGACCATCAACAACCCCATTTCTCTGATCTGTGAGGCGCTGGCCTTCCCCGCCCCCACCATCACCTGGATGAAGGACGGGTCCCCATTTGAGGCCTCAAACAACATTCAGCTGCTCCCAGGTGATGCCCTGGGGGGAGGAGCGAGGGGTCAGAGGGCAGGGCTGGTGAAGCCCAGCTCATGCCTGAGGTGCCCCTGGCCACTGTTCCGCAAGCAGGTACCCACGGGCTGCAGATCTTGAATGCCCAGAAGGAAGACGCTGGCCAGTACACCTGCGTGGTCACCAACGAGCTTGGGGAGGCCATGAAGAACTACCACGTGGAAGTCCTCAGTGAGTCGGGACCCCCGGGCACTGGTGGGAGGCAGGAGGTGGTGCGGAGCCCTGGGACCCCGGCGCCGGGGCCATTCCTGACACCCCCGACGCCTTCATGGCCCTTGTCTACTCTGATAGTCACCAGGCAGCGGGCCGGCTGGGTCATTCCCCATTTTAGGGCCCAGGACGCTCAGAGGGGGGATGGTGAGCTAGGACTTGGGCCACGTGGATGCCCACACCCGCTCCAGTCCGGGCTTCTTTCTGCCGTGATGTAGTCAGAACCTCCACAACTTGAGACCTGGGGCCCCCAGACGTCACCCCAGGAATTCCCCTGCCTCCGGCCTGCTCTGTCCTGTAACCATCGTTGACAGTCTTGCCTTTAAGGCAGGGGTAGGGAACCTTTTATCTGCCAAGTGCCATGTGTTGGTTTTATGTTTTGTTTTTGGTGGTTGTGGTTTTTAAATACATTTTTATTGATTTCAGAGAGGAAGGGGGAGGGAGAGAGATAGAAACATCAATGATGAGAGAGAATCATTGATGGGCTGCCTCCTGCACGACTCCTCCTGGCGATCAAGCCGACATCCCAGGCATGTGCCTTTGACCAGAATCAAACCCAGGAATCAAACTGCAGGCTGATGCTCTATCCACTGAGCCAAACCAGCTAGCGTGCCAGTGGCCATGTGGATATTTATAACATCATTTGCTTAATATAATTCACTTAATATAAACTTATGTTGCTATGAAGAAAGCTCCTAGATTTTTTTTTAACTTTAATAATTCCTTATTGTTTAAAGTATTATGTCTGTCCTCTACTTCCCCCCGTTGGCCACCTAACGCTCCTCGATTGATTGAATTTCGAGCCTGGCAGGAGGGCTCTGTCTCGGCTGCCTGTGCCCTTTCTCACCAACATCTGACACATCTAAGCCCCCAGATGGGCAGGGCCAGGCCAAATGATTTCACAGGTCTTACACAGCCCAGCCCGCTGGCCGGACGTTCCCCACCCCTGCCCTAAGCAGACGGCCCCAGGAGTGGATCCGACTCCAGGCCCCTGTTCCTCCACTGTCCGGAGCCAGCCCCCCATTCCTGGGCCCAGGGTGAGCGCAGGCTCAGCGCCCCCACCCCAGGCCGGCTCCTCAGACCCCCCCTTGCAATTTGCAGTCCCCCCTTCCATCTCCAAAGACGACTCCATGGGGGAGGTCGGTGTGAAGGAAGTGAAGACCAAGGTCAACAGTACCCTAACCCTGGAGTGTGAGTGCTGGGCGGCGCCCCCGCCCGCCATCGGCTGGTACAAGGACGGACGGGTGAGCTGGGCCCCCCGGGGCAGCCTCAGGTTCTCTCCTCTGGGTCCCCCGGGCCCTGCTTGGAACCTTCCAGTAGAGACAGGCAAAGCACCTGGCCCCAGAGCTGGGCTGGGCCCCGCCTCGCTCTTTACATGTTAATAGGAAATCCTACTCTTTTAAAAGGGAACAGGTCTCATAAACATTAAACTTTATATTCACCCATTTAATTCCCTTCCGACTGTTGTCATCCGGGTTTGGTTTTACCAAGTTTTCAGGTGTCCTCCCATTTTGTCGGGTGTTTAAAACCTTGTTGGAATCTACGTATGCTTGTCCGGGTACTTCCCCCATTTGTGATCCCCATTCTGCCTCTTTCCTCCCCCCAGCCTGTGACCCCCCACGAGCGGCTCCGTGTCCTGGGCGAAGGGCGGCTGCTGCAGATCCAGCCCACGCAGGTCTCCGATTCGGGGCGGTACCTGTGCGTGGCCACCAACGTGGCCGGCGAGGACGACCAGGACTTCAACGTGCTCATCCAGGGTGTGTGGGGACCAGCAGGGCCTGGTGGGGGCAGGAGACTGTGGGACTGGGCGGCAGGGCCAGGGGCGGGGGTGTCTGCTTCAGAGTCGCTGGCAGGAGGGCTCTGTCCTGGCTGCCTGCCCGCGCCCCCCCCCCTTTTTAATGTATTTTTATTGATTTCAGAGAGAAAGGGTGAGAAAAGAGAGAGAAAAACATTAATGATGAGAGAGAATCATTGATTAGCTGCCCCCTGCACATCCCCTAATGGGGACCGAGCCCACAACCCGGGCCTGTGCCCTGACCGGGAATCGAACTGTGACCTCCTGGTTCATAGGCCGATGCTAACCATTGAGCAACGCCAGCCGGGTGGCCTGTCCCCTTTCTCACCACTGTCTGGCATGTCTGGCCCCCCGAGCCTGGCCTGGGCTCTTCCATTCACTGACTTTGTGACTTGGGAACATCATTGCCCCCTGGGCCTTAGTTTTGCCTCTGTGACATGCGGGTGGCTGAATGGGGCGGCCTTGAGGGGCGCCTCAGTTCTGAAAGCCCATGATTTTACCCTCGGGGCTCCAGTAACAGGCTGGCTAAAGCCCAGGATCTGGCTCCCTCCCTTGTCAGAACCACCTTGTCAGAAGTCGGGCGTCCATTAGACACGAGCTGCGGTGGGCAGGAGCCTCATCCAGTGCCCAGCACAGTCATTGCTCAATAAACACTCACTGCAAAAAAACCCACAAAAATAAAAACCCACTAGTTGAAGGGATGAGTGAATTTTAAAAACGCCTTGACCTACAGGATGGGCTCAAACAGTGCAATGTCCACTCCCAGGAGAGGCTGGGACGGGGTCCTTTGAGCAGAGGTTCCCTCTCCATCCCATGCTTTGTCGCCCCTCCCCAGTGCCCCCCATGTTCCAGAAGGTGGGTGATGCCAGTGCGACCTTCGAGACCCTGTCCCGGGAGGAGGAGGCCCGGGGCGGGGTGACAGAATACCGGGAGGTCGTGGAGAACAACCCCGCATACCTGTACTGCGACACCAACGCGGTCCCGCCCCCGGAGCTCACCTGGTACAGGGAGGACCAGCCCCTCTCAGCCACGGACGGGGTGTCTGTCCTGCAAGGTAGGCCGGGGCTGCGCGGAGAAGTCGGGGCATTTGCAGGAGGGACCGGGGTCACACCGCATCGGAGCTGGTCCTCTCAGCTGCCCTTCTGCCGGCCCTCTGAGCGACCCCGCGTGCTGCTTGCTGTGTGGCCTCGGGCAGGGCCTTTGACAGGCTGGGCCTTCGCCGCCTCTGTAATCCAGGCTGGAAGTTCTCTGGGCTTCAGATCTGCGATGCCGGGAAATAAACCACTAACGTTGGCGTCTTTCTTAGAGGGAGCCGCTGTCGCTGTTTCTTTTTTTTTTTTTCTAATTGATTTCAGAGAGGAAGAGAGAGGGAGAGACAGAAACATCAATGATGAGAGAGAATCATTGATCGGCTGCCTCCTGCACGCTCCCTAGTGGGGATCGAGCCCACCGCCCGGGCATGTGCCCTGACCGGGAATCGAACCGTGACCTCCTGGTCCACAGGTCGATGCTCAACCACTGAGCCACACCGGCTGGGCAGGGGCCGCTCCTTTATTGGCATCTCGTGATCATCCCAACAGTGGACGAACCTCCCACTGGGCTGAGGGCCACACCGGGGCCAAACTCAGGCCCTTGTGACCTTTGCTTTCCTTTTGCTGCTTTATATGTTTATTTAAAGTGATTCAGTTTTTTTAAAAAACAACCCTTTTATTTAGAATAGTTTTTTTTCTGTGGAGGATTTTGAATTAAAAGGCTCCAAATGCCTGGCTTCCCTGGCGGCTGGCCGAGCTCCCTGGGGTAGAGCAGACCTGGGAGAAGGTCCAGGCACAGAGCCCGGTTGTGTCTCAGGGGGGATTCGGTGGTCTCCCGGCTCAGGATTTGCCCCGGGTCCTGCCAGGCGTGGGCAGTGCTGGGGCCGATGAGGGCGGGGGCGAGGGAGGCGAGGTGGGGCACGGGGTGCTACTGAGCAGGGTCACCCCAGGGCTTGTACTTTGGCTCTTGCAAAAGAAGGTGGCCTCAGAGATCTGAGAGGGGCAGCGCTTGCTGACAGCTGTTTGCTCCTGTCAGAACCCCTGGATTGACCCCCCCGCCTCCTCTCGGACCGGGGCACTGGCCCCAATCCTGGGTACACAGAGACCTCAGTCACATGCTGATCCCTGGCCACAGCCCCCGACCCTCTGTCCTCGCCATAAACCTTCAACCCCACCTTGAACTCTGACCCTGGCCACTGACTCCCAATCCTGAGCACATAGATTAACCTCACACATAAATGACCCTGACAGTGGCCCCTCTCTCCCTCCTTAATCATGACCGCTGTCCCCTGGCTCTGCATGTAATGAGCCCCTAGTTCCAACCCTGGTCACAGCCCCTCCCCCCCCACACACACACACCCAGCCTGGGCCAGCGAGCCCCTGACCGAGAATGTGAGCACACAATGACCCTCCCTCGGCCTCTGCTAGAGACCAGCTCCAGCCCCCAGAGATGCCAGGGTCTGGCCGTGGCAGGCTCTGGATCACAGAGGGTCTCAGATGACAGCTGCTAGCAACATCCACCCCCAACCGCCACAGCCCGCAGCTGCCTCTTTGCCTCCCAAGAGCCTCTGCCAAGCTCTCTGGCCCTTCCCTCTGCCCTCATCAAGGAGCTGGGCTCAGCACTGTGGGGTGCTCTTGGGAAGCCTCAGTTTTTCCATCTGTGAGATGGGAGTGTTTACAGCACCGAGTCAGAGAGCAGGGAGGTGCGGCCAGGCCTGGTGCCCCGGCCCGGAGAGCTGGGCGGGGCGGGCAGATGCTCTCCATTTCACAGATGGGGGTTGCGGGGGTGATGTGTCCCAGGTCCCCTACGAGGAAGGAGCAGGTTTCCTCACCTTTGCTCAGGCCTCTGTCCCCCCTCCCCCCATCCCTCTCCCCACAGGAGGCCGGGTCCTGCAGATCCCCCTGGTGCGCGCGGAGGATGCTGGGAGGTACTCGTGCAAGGCCTCCAACGAGGTGGGCGAGGACTGGCTGCACTACGAGCTGATGGTGCTGAGTGAGTGGCCGGCCTTGGGGGCGGGAGGGGGGTGTCACGTCTGCAGGCTCCGTGAGCCCCGCCCCAGGAGTCACAGTGGGGAACATGGTCTGGCAGGACTTGGAGGTTGATAATGTAGGGGCTGCGAGCTTGGGCTCTGAAACCAGACAGGACTGGGTTCAAACTCCAAGTGAGCTGCTTCCTAGCTGTGTGACCTTGAGCGGTTAGTTCACAGCCCCAGGTTCCTTAGCTGCACCAGGGCCTGGGAGGGCTTGGGGAGTGGGGCATGAGGAGCCCCAGCTGGTGCCTGGCACCAAGTGCTGCTCTCACCTCCATGCCTGCCCCCCCCCCAGGGACCTTTCCCAGGGAGGCTGCCTGCTCCTCACCCTCCTCTCCCTCACCCAGCCCCACCTGTGATCCCGGGGGACACGGAGGAGCTGGTGGAGGAGGTGATCGTCAATGCCAGCAGCACTGTCAGCCTACAGTGTCCAGCCCTGGGCAACCCCACGCCCACCATCTCGTGGCTCCAGAACGGGCTGCCCTTCTCCCCGAGCCCACGGCTGCAGGTCCTGGAGGACGGGCAAGTCTTGCAGGTCAGGGCGTCCCCCGCCGTGGATAAGGCAGCAGCTGCCAAGGTTCAGTGGTGCTGGCCCGGGACCAGGAGCTGCCGTTACTGAGCCAAATGAGGTCCCTGCCCGAGAGCCTGCGGGAGCTCCCGGGCTTCATTCACCCCCAGATGCGTGTCCGCCACCACCATGTGCCTCCCGGGCAGGCACGGGCGAGCGTAGCGCCTGGGAATTCTGCTGATGTCACACCTACAGCCAGGGCGGCTCAGGGCCCTGGGTAGCACCCTTGGCCACCCAGTTTCTAGACACAGCTGCCCGGGACCCCTGCAGCTCAACACAGCAGAGGGTAGCCTCCTCCGGGTGTGGGGAGACCATCGCGTTTGCTATAGGGCAGGGGTGGGCAAACTTTTTGACTCGAGGGCCACAGTGGGTTCTTAAACTGGACCGGAGGGCCAGAACAAAAGCATGGATGGAGTGTTGACTAATATAAATTCAAAGTAAACATCATTACATAAAAGGGTATGGTCTTTTTTTTTTTTTTTTTAGTTTTTACTCATTTCAAGCGGGCTGTAGTTTGCCCACGGCTGCTATAGGGGGTCACCCAGCCCAACCTCACACTCCCCTCCTGAGTGTCACAGAAAGCCCTAGACCAGCGGTTCTCAACCTGTGGGTCACGACCCCTTTGGCGGTCGAACGACCCTTTCACAGGGGTCGCCTAAGACCATCCTGCAGATCAGATATTTACATGACGGTTCATAACAGTAGCAACATGACAGTTATGAAGTAGCAACAAAAATAATTGTATGGTTGGGTCACATGAGGAACTGTATGTAAAGGACCAGAAGGTTGAGAACCGCTGTCCTGGACGGGCATGGGGTGTGCGTGCCCATCAGTGGTGCCCCTACACACTGCTCCATGTAGACAGGTGGCCTTCTGCGGGGTTCCTCCTGGTGCCTGCCGTGCCTGGTGTGGTGAGGGGGTCCCTCCCAGTGGTTCCTGGGAAGGGGGACCACAGCCACCAGGCGCCCTCTCTCTGCACCCACAGGTTTCCACGGCAGAGGTGGCCGACGTTGCCAGCTACATGTGTGTGGCCGAGAACCCGGCGGGCTCCGCGGAGAAGCTCTTCACACTTAGGGTGCAAGGTGAGCTGGGCAGGGCAGGCGGCCCCCTGGGGCTCCCTGGCTGAGGAGGGGCTGGTGCTCGGGCCCACTCGACCTGCTCCATGGCAGGCACAGCACCTAGTCCCTCCCTGAGGGCATCACCTGGTGCTTCCTGTGTCCCAGGCCCCGAGGCTGCACCCAGAGATTAGTCGTCCTGGCCTGGCACCAGCCACATCCCAGGACTGAGAGGATCTGGGGGACCCCGATCACCCAGGCCATCCCCAGATGACTCTAAGCCGCTTTGGAGGTGGTCGGGGAGCGGCTCTTCTGGCCTTACGGCACCATGATTAAGCACTTACTGTGTACCTGGCCTGGGGCTGACTCCTTCCCGCAGAGCTCAGAGGTTAGCCCAACCCCACAGCTGCAGACGGAGAGGTCACCCAGTGGGGGTCACCGCCCCGGGGCTGGCCCTCTTGACCTCCGCATTCTTGTGACGCATGCCCCTCCGTGGCCGTGGCTGTGCGCTCGGCCTCCAGCTGTGGCCTCGGGAATGGGGGTGACAGCGTTGAGCCCTCAAGGCCTAGGACTCAAACCTGAATTGATATTTGGCTCTGGCACTGGCCAGCTGAGTGGCCACGGGGAAGTGACTGTCCCTCTCTGGTGCCCACGCCCCGTGCTCCCATCCGTGGGCCGTGGTGGCGAACAGGCAGCTGCACAGCGTTACTCGGCAGCGCGGCCCGCCGAGGCCGGGAGCTGAGTCCTGTGCTGCAGCTGTCGCTCCCTCGCGGGTGCATCCTCAAGTGTCTTTCTTTATCCGGTGGCCACGGGGACAGTCCCCCCGCACATCACAGGCCCGGACTCAGAGCAGGTCACCGCCACCCTCAACAGCAGCGTGTCCCTCCCCTGCGACATCCGTGCTCACCCGGGCCCCGAGGTCACGTGGTACAAGGACGGCCAGGCCCTCTCCCTGGGCGAAGGCGCCTTCCTCCTGCCTGGTGGGTAAACTGAGGCTTGGGGTCCAGCTCTGTGGGGACCAGGCTGGGAGTCCGGG